ACGATGTTGTGCACATTCTGCTCCCACACCATCTTCCAGAAGTCGTCTTTAGTGCCGGGTAAAGGTCCCTGAGTCGCGATGTACTCCCGCCGGAAGTTATTGCCCTTTAAAAGAAACCATGTGACGCGTTTGGTCAAGTGTCATTGGATAGCCTTGGACCGATACTTTCTCCTTTCATGCAAACTCTATCTACCACTATTGACTGTATTTGATGAAAATGTCCAAATGTTTAAATTGAAATATGTATTACTTAATTACACAACCATGTTAAACTCAGAATGCATGCTTAAAAAGTTCAGTTATCGCATCTAAGACATTTGCCTTTTGTCATGAATGTACTTGCATAAGCAGAGATCTTACAGGAATATAGCTGGCGTTAATATAATCTGAGCAGGAGTCGTCGTCAACATAGGACAGCTTCACTCGCGTGGAATCATCTGTGCCAAGAACACGTCAAAATAAACAGCCGTTTAGTCAAACTATTGGAATAATATTGGATATATTGGATACAGGCACTGTGTGGACGTACAAGGCAGGATATTGTTGTAGCGGTTTTTGCCTCTGTTTTCAGGCAATAACGCCGAGTCTTGAGGCTGGTTACGACCAACATCCTTCAGGTCCTGAAAGCAGAACAAAGAGTTCCTCTGAAACATCAATCCTGCTGAATATCTTATTAAGAAATAAGGAGGATAGTGTACCTCATATTCCTCAGAAAGGAGGTAGTTGGAGTCTGCTCGAAGTTTAGTTAAATGGGACTCAAAGTTTGAGGTGCTGATTGGGCTGTATTGGAGAAGAACAATAGACAATGGCAATACTCAGAGCTCATTCCAAGAACATACAGTATACTGAAAATATAACAATGCATAAATCTAGCATAACGTAATGCTAAAAAGCTGCAACTGCTATGTGATTGCGGTGCGCTGTTATTATGGAGATCCGCGTGATCATGTGATCAGTTCAGTACCTCGAGACACGCCGGTTCCTGAAACACAGGGCCAAAGAACAGTTCATGCTTCTAAACTCAATCAACGTACAAACAATAGTATTTATAAAAGTATAGTATGATTCTTCCAGGTATATGAAATATCTGTTTTAGCATGAAGATAAAAGTAAACTGCTAGTACACGCTTTAATCCTGATATGAATGCGGTGTTCGTACCCTCTGGCGGTGACGTGTGTTCCTGAAGACGGTCTTTCTCTTCTCAGACTCATTCTGACCACAGGCTCTTGTGCACTCCTGCAAAACACAAAACCCATCATCGCTAATTAATGACTTCCTGATACTTCAATTGACCTATGGCTAAGCCACGCCCCCTCCACTCACTCGGACACACAGTCAACATTCGGGGACAGGCGCTATGGCAGCCGTCACAGTAGGAGACATTTCACAGGAGGCAATTGATGAGAAAGATTATATATCATCTAAAAGTCACCAAAAGGGCCTTAACTATTCATTGGAGGGTTATATTAATAATTTTATTGTTGAGAAGGTCGATGAAAAGCTTCAGCTCCAGGCAAAAATGTACAGGTCACAGTGTAAACGTGATAAACCGCATCTCGTTGCCATCACCATCTCAGACAACAAGAGGATCAGCATTGTTCATCCACTGCAGTATTTACACGAATCATTCAGCACAACATTGCTGACATTTGTTATCTCGGTTATTTACAGATACGTTAATGAAGCTAAGTGACATGATGTACAACGCAGCTAGAAGCTAACGTCAACGTTTTCTAATGTTAGGCTAATGTTACGTTAGAGATGTAAAGATAACGTTCAAATACGTTGTTGACTTAGAACAGATGTAGACATCCTTGTTTAATTTATCCACGTTTAGTTGCTGTTGTGGTCTACCGCATAACTTTATCCAGAGCAGACACTTATCTCGGTTGATATGTGGCTTGGGAAAGGGTAAGAAATACACACCGTCGCCCTGCCTCTGGGGATACCTAGTGTTGGAGTTGAATGTACCCCATGCACACCGTTTGACCATTTTAAACTTGAAATGACAAGAAAAAACATATAAAAACGAATGAAAACTGACTAACTGCAATCATTTCAATGGACGTGGAAGCAGAGAATGTCCGAGTGTATTGGGTTAGCTATGCGCACTGTGATTGGCTCATCGCGTTTGGGGGCGTGGCTTAGCCATAGGTCAATTATATCTCAATACGTGTCAACTTAAGTGCATCGCAAGTGCAAATACATCGCAAACTTAAGTGCGTTAAACTTCGTCAAGTGGACGAAAGAAGTTTATTTGGACAGACCCTCAACACCTCAGTTTTGACAGAGGGAGCGAGTCTACTCATGTACTTATTAGGCAGATCCAAATACCACAATGCAACTCATAGACCACAATGCAACACATAGACCACAATGCTCTATAGAAATGACATCACAACAGCAACTCCCATAGCAGATTCCAGGTGATCAACTGTGTTAAGCTATATAACAATGATTAGTTTTCTGTCGATGAATGTATCCCAACAGTTCCTCACCTGTCTAATAAAACACACAATATATTACAGCGTCTTTGGTGTTTCCACGGTTTCTACAGAAGGAAATCGAGAGTAACGCGGGTATGATGTCTTTGATAGGCGACGCACGGTCCGTGTCCTGGTTAAAACTGCTTATTTCTCTGGATTTAAACATTCTTGGAAACATCTGGGATAATGTAAGTATACAAATCAACGAAATATATAACATTGTTCTAGTGGTTTTTACATATTTTAATCCAAAAATCTTTCATATTGTGCCTTTAACTCATCACTGCTAATCCATGACAAACTGGATTTACTAAACCATCATCACAAACCCACCAGCTCTAACTCAAACTGATCACCACAAACCCATCATTACAAGTGCATCATTCATTGGCCAAAAAAGAGACAACATGACAAAGTTAAAACATTTTTCTTCTGTAGATATTGCGATAGCATTGTCATTCTGAATTCTTTTGGTCATGATAATTGTGTAGTGAAAATCTGATACCACAAACCCATCATTGTTGTCCTGTCACTATCAGCCTCTAGTCAGAGCTGCATGTGATGATGTTCAGGACAGCATTTACTGTATTCGAGTTTTAATAAAGATGGATAAAGCTGGACTCACATTTTGTGGACTTTCTGCCTGCAGATCAGCAGGACGATTAATCCCCCCATGGTGGCGATGAGGAAGAGTCCAGCGCTGACCCCTTCGATGACCCCACTCAGCGGCTCTGAACACACACACACATGAAGAATTAACACACACGTCCTGCCGATCGCCCTCAGCATGGCGGAGCCGTGTGTAATACCTGCGTCTGTCACGAAGGGCTGGGACAGGTACGTATCCGTGAAGAGCGGAGAGAGAAACTCCTCGTGATCCTCATCAAAAAGTTTGGTAAACGCTCGAACGCTGAGTCTGAAAATCACGAGACAAACAGTTGAAGAGATCAACAATAACTAGAATATTAGAGTAAGCATTTAACCTTCACTTGTGTGACTAATCATGTGTGTGAGAGGAAGCTTAGTTTTCACCCTGACCATAACCTCCATCTCCTGAAGCATGGGTCAGGCTTTGCACTCATCAGTCAACACTAGTACTAGCACAGGCTCAACACTAGTACTAGCTCAGGCTCAACACTAGTACTAGCTCAGGCTAAACACTAGCTCAGGCTCAACACTAGTACTAGCACAGGCTCAACACTAGCTCAGGCTCAACACTTGTACTAGCTCAGGCTCAACACTAGTACTAGCACAGGCTCAACACTAGCTCAGGCTCAACACTAGCACAGGCTCAACACTAGCTCAGGCTCAACACTAGCACAGGCTCCACACTAGCACAGGCTCAACACTAGCACAGGCTCAACACTAGCACAGGCTCAACACTAGCACTAGCACAGGCTCAACACTAGCACAGGCTCAACACAAGCACAGGCTCAACACTAGCTCAGGCTCAACACTAGCTCAGGCTCAACACTAACACTAGCACAGGCTCAACACTAGCACAGGCTCAACACTAGCACTAGCACAGGCTCAACACTAGCACAGGCTCAACACAAGCACAGGCTCAACACTAGCACAGGCTCAACACTAGCACAGGCTCAACACTAGCACAGGCTCAACACTAGCACATGCTCAACACTAGCACAGGCTCAACACTAGCACAGGCTCAACACTAGCACAGGCTCAACACTAGCTCAGGCTCAACACTAGCACAGGCTCAACACTAGCACAGGCTCAACACTAGCACATGCTCAACACTAGCACAGGCTCAACACTAGCACAGGCTCCACACTAGCACAGGCTCAACACTAGCTCAGGCTCAACACTAGCACAGGCTCAACACTAGCACAGGCTCAACACTAGCTCAGGCTCAACACTAGCACAGGCTCAACACTAGCTCAGGCTCAACACTAGCACAGGCTCAACACTAGCTCAGACTCAACACTAGCTCAGGCTCAACACTAGCTCAGGCTCAACACTAGCACAGGCTCAACACTAGCTCAGGCTCAACACTAGCTCAGGCTCAACACTAGCACAGGCTCAACACTAGCACAGGCTCAACACTAGCTCAGGCTCAACACTAGCACAGGTTCAACACTAGCACAGGCTCAACACTAGCTCAGGCTCAACACTAGCACAGGGTCAACACTAGCACAGGCTCAACACTAGCTCAGGCTCAACATTAGCACAGGCTCAACACTAGCTCAGGCTCAACACTAGCACAGGCTCAACTCTAGCTCAGGCTCAACACTAGCTCAGGCTCAACACTAGCACATGCTCAACACTAGCACAGGTTCAACACTAGCTCAGGCTCAACACTAGCTCAGGCTCAACACTAGCACAGGCTCAACACTAGCACAGGTTCAACACTAGCTCAGGCTCAACATTAGCACAGGCTCAACACTAGCACAGGCTCAACACTAGCTCAGGCTCAACACTAGCACAGGCTCAACACTAGCACAGGCTCAACACTAGCACAGGCTCAACACTAGCTCAGGCTCAACACTAGCTCAGGCTCAACACTAGCACAGGCTCAACACTAGCACAGGCTCAACACTAGCACAGGCTCAACACTAGCACAGGCTCAACACTAGCTCAGGCTCAACATTAGCACAGGCTCAACACTAGCACAGGCTCAACACTAGCTCAGGCTCAACACTAGCACAGGCTCAACACTAGCACAGGCTCAACACTAGCTCAGGCTCAACACTAGCACAGGCTCAACACTAGCTCAGGCTCAACACTAGCACAGGCTCAACACTAGCTCAGGCTCAACATTAGCACAGGCTCAACACTAGCACAGGCTCAACACTAGCTCAGGCTCAACACTAGCTCAGGCTCAACACTAGCACAGGCTCAACACTAGCTCAGGCTCAACACTAGCACTAGCACAGGCTCAAAACTAGCTCAGGCTCAACACTAGCACAAGCTCAACACTAGCTCAGGCTCAACACTAGCACAGGCTCAACACTAGCTCAGGCTCAACACTAGCACAGGCTCAACACTAGCTCAGGCTCAACATTAGCACAGGCTCAACACTAGCACAGGCTCAACACTAGCTCAGGCTCAACACTAGCTCAGGCTCAACACTAGCACAGGCTCAACACTAGCTCAGGCTCAACACTAGCACTAGCACAGGCTCAACACTAGCTCAGGCTCAACACTAGCACAGGCTCAACACTAGCACAGGCTCAACACTAGCTCAGGCTCAACACTAGCACAGGCTCAACACTAGCACAGGCTCAACACTAGCACAGGCTCAACACTAGCTCAGGCTCAACACTAGCTCAGGCTCAACACTAGCACAGGCTCAACACTAGCACAGGCTCAACACTAGCACAGGCTCAACACTAGCACAGGCTCAACACTAGCTCAGGCTCAACATTAGCACAGGCTCAACACTAGCACAGGCTCAACACTAGCTCAGGCTCAACACTAGCTCAGGCTCAACACTAGCACAGGCTCAACACTAGCTCAGGCTCAACACTAGCACAGGGTCAACACTAGCACAGGCTCAACACTAGCTCAGGCTCAACACTAGCACAGGCTCAACACTAGCTCAGGCTCAACACTAGCTCAGGCTCAACACTAGCTCAGGCTCAACACTAGCACAGGCTCAACACTAGCACAGGCTAAACACTAGCACAGGCTCAACACTAGCACAGGCTCAACACTAGCACAGGCTCAACACTAGCACAGGCTCAACACTAGCACAGGCTCAACACTAGCACAGGCTCAACACTAGCACAGGCTCAACTCTAGCTCAGGCTCAACACTAGCTCAGGCTCAACACTAGCACATGCTCAACACTAGCACAGGTTCAACACTAGCTCAGGCTCAACACTAGCTCAGGCTCAACACTAGCACAGGCTCAACACTAGCACAGGTTCAACGCTAGCTCAGGCTCAACATTAGCACAGGCTCAACACTAGCACAGGCTCAACACTAGCTCAGGCTCAACACTAGCACAGGCTCAACACTAGCTCAGGCTCAACACTAGCACAGGCTCAACACTAGCACAGGCTCAACACTAGCACAGGCTCAACACTAGCACAGGCTCAACACTAGCTCAGGCTCAACACTAGCTCAGGCTCAACACTAGCACAGGCTCAACACTAGCACAGGCTCAACACTAGCACAGGCTCAACACTAGCTCAGGCTCAACACTAGCACAGGCTCAACACTAGCACAGGCTCAACACTAGCTCAGGCTCAACACTAGCACAGGCTCAACACTAGCTCAGGCTCAACACTAGCTCAGGCTCAACACTAGCACAGGCTCAACACTAGCACAGGCTCAACACTAGCTCAGGCTCAACACTAGCACAGGCTCAACACTAGCACAGGCTCAACACTAGCACAGGCTCAACACTAGCTCAGGCTCAACACTAGCACAGGCTCAACACTAGCACAGGCTCAACACTAGCTCAGGCTCAACACTAGCTCAGGCTCAACACTGGCACAGGCTCAACACTAGCTCAGGCTCAACACTAGCACAGGCTCAACACTAGCACAGGCTCAACACTAGCACAGGCTCAACACTAGCTCAGGCTCAACACTAGCTCAGGCTCAACACTAGCTCAGGCTCAACACTAGCACAGGGTCAACACTAGCACAGGCTCAACACTAGCTCAGGCTCAACACTAGCACAGGCTCAACACTAGCTCAGGCTCAACACTAGCTCAGGCTCAACACTAGCACAGGCTCAACACTAGCTCAGGCTCAACACTAGCACAGGCTCAACACTAGCACAGGCTCAACACTAGCACAGGCTCAACACTAGCACAGGCTCAACACTAGCTCAGGCTCAACACTAGCACAGGCTCAACACTACCACAGGCTCAACACTAGCACAGGCTCAACACTAGCTCAGGCTCAACACTAGCACAAGCACTCCTGACTGGCCCTCACCTGTATGAAGTCTTGGGTTTCAGTGGCCCATCGCAGAAGACCAGCTGACCCTGAGCTGCATCGGCCAGTGGTTTCTGATCGCACCGTCCTCCCAGACTCTCCATGCCCGACCCCAGATGGACCTCGATCTCCTGCGTGGAGCTCTGGCTCTCGTCGCAGTGGCTGCGGATGAAGCTGGTCTGATACGCTTTGACAGAGCTGTTGGACCGGTAGTCCAGGTACGAGGGAAGAGGATGATGCTGGTTAGGCTGCTGGTTTACACTGTCTGGATGCAAACAAAGAGAGGGATCATTGCATTACATGCTTGTGTAAGGAGACTGGCTTAGCTATCTGTGCATAACGCAAAATAGATAAATAAAAAGTCTCCCAACCATCAGATTCGGTGACGATGATGGTGAAGAATTTCACCGCGCCGTTGATGTCACTGAACCAGCTGCAGTTAAACTGGAAGAATATGGTGGACTTGGTGATCTGAACTGTGTTCTCCTCGACTCGAGTGGAGGGCAGAGGTGGACCTGAGAACAATGAAGCCTATCAGCGAACGCTCCGTCAGAGAGTGATCGTTTATATCGAACGAAAAGCCCAAACTCACGGTCTATCATCGTCACCACATTCTCCACGACCGCCTCACTGGTCATGCTGTCAGAGATGACTTTGACGGAGACCATGTAGTGTTTGTGAGGCTCCAGATCTTTGATCAGATAGACGGTGTTGTCTTTGAGCGTGCGCCGCGAGTACACCATTCTCTGCGAGTCCTTTCGGGAGCACTCGATGGTGTAGGAGTCGAAGTCGGCTTCTGGAGGAGTCCAGGAACAGGCGATGGCGGAGGAGTTCTGCGGACGGCAGTGCAGACCCTGGACACGCACGGGCCCTGAACACAGCACACACACACACACACTGCTATACCCACAGTTAACTGATTGATTGCACTGGAGTACTCTACTGTTAACCCTTGTGCGTCAAGTTCAGAAAGTTACACATAGGTCCATAGTGGACAAAAATGTCTGTCAAAAACCTGAAGCTTGGGAGCACAGACTTGTTTGGTATTATTTTAAAGAAGACCCGTGGCAGATTATTGTTGAAGTAAAAAAGAATTCAAAAGTGAAACCAAAAATAAATTATAGAGGTTTAAGTTTATAAAAATTACTTATGAACATTAATTTATGTAAAAAATATATTTTATGAAACATTTTGAACTCTAAAACTGCTAGAAAATCAAAGGCATAAATCTAAACAAGTTGTTTTCCAAATTTGAGCTTGATATCTCAAAAAATGAGCTTTCAGTGAGAGTGTTCGGGCGCAGGACTAGATTATGCCCATTAGATGCAGCATCACTCCACTGATTAACACAGTGCTGGATTCACGATTTGCAGTTGAGTTTTCTCTCGCAAATATTACAGGCACACACACAAACATAATTTTTTAAACAAACCACACTCTGACATCCATACTAACACACCCACACAATTATAGCTGCATAATTTATCCATTTGGCTCTATAATATGCAGAAGCAGAAAACAGGAATAAAGCGAGTATTTGCTTTATAGGCCAAACCTGAGAAAACTGCACCATCCAGGAAAAATAGTAAAAAATATATATATTTTGAAGCCTTCCCAACAGAATGAAATCCTGTTAACAAAGATTGCATAATTTTATAGTTAAATGGCCCAGGGAATAAAAATTGCAGTTTTAATGGGTTTCAATGGGGACATTTTTGTCCAAAAGGTCCTGAGAGGAACTATCTTGTATTACTAGTGCAAAATAGATGTTTTAAAGGAAATGGGGGTGAAATATTAAAATTCCAATAAAAATACACTCCTGTGCCAAAATGTATGCAGTTTGCAGAATGATAAAAAATAATAATAATGAAAAAGACAAAAATGTCCATAAGGACGCACAAGGGTTAAGCATATACGTGTCAGTCTGTACAACACTCTAGAGAAGAAGCCTAGCGCAACCTCCCTATCATGTGACTTCATGAAGCCTGTTTGGGACATGCAGAGATGCCTGATAACCTGGCTCTCATAAAGCCGTCACTGACTTGTCCTGATGCTGCTGTCGATGGGCCGGCTGTAGCTGGGGTTGTGGGATCCAGCGCCGCTGACCGTACGCAGGCTGATGTTGTACCGCCGGCCGGGGAACATGCCCTTCAGGATCCGGCTGCCGGATGTGGGGCTGTGGTAGGGGTTGAACACGGACAGAGGGTCCCTGGGGATCCACTGAAGGTCGAAGTCATCATAATCAGTGTGTTCTGGACCACTCCAGGTCATCTCCAGTGAGGTGTTCGTGATTTCTCCAAAGGAGAACGAGACCGGAGGCCTAGGGTCTACAATATATGAAAGCCACCAAGGGAATAAGTACTACATTTAAAGTATTGATTCTACAGTTCTGCTGAAGGAAACCCTCTTCAGGTCTTCTGGGATCGCTCTTACCCGTCCTGCCGTCAGTAGCTGCCATGTTAGAGAGATCTCCACTGTGTGTCAGGACCACCGCCCGGTAGAGTCGCCCAGACACCAGGCCCTGAAACTCATGACCCCGGCTCTCGGGGCCCAGACTGGTCTGAGCGTGAGGAGTCCCGTCGGGGTTGTAGATCAGGAGTGTGTAGCGGCTCACTTCACCCCCGGCCTGCTTCCAGCTCAACCACAGGCTCTCCGAGCTTCTCCTGCTGTCCGCACGCAAGAACGACACAGCCGCGGGCACTGCAAGACACCGTTACCAAGCTGATGATTACAGCATTGACATTAATTACAGGGTTTGGCTTTCATGGTCAAATGTGAACAAAATAGTAATTGTGATGAAAATATGATTGTGTTTTCGGTTAAACTGCCACGACATTGAACTACCAGGGCTGTCAAAATGGCTGAAAAGCTGAATTCAAATTTCTTTCTTAAATATTAGCAAAATTCGAAGGATTTATGAATTCTAAAGGCAATCCTTAATGTTAGAGGAGAAAGTGCTGTATTGTCTCCTGTGTCCACAAGAGGGCGCACGCGAGCGCAATAAGCAAATATAAACCAAATCAAGCATAGCATCTTTTATTGAAATGAAATGACATTCACTTTTAAAGTGCATTAACTTTTCAAACAATTGTTCTTAAATTTAAAAAAAAATTCTTAATGAGCATGCAAGGAAAGAGATTACGTTACAATAGTGCATAAAACTTCAACACACACGTAATGAACTACATGAACACACACCAGCAAACTGGCTACTTTTACTCACTACATCTACATATTGATCATCACAAACACCAGACGCTCTTGATCTGAGCGAGTGCGGAGCGCTTTCTGTTGTGTTTCAGCTGATGAACACACACACACACACACACATGCTGAGGGCTTTCTGTTCACAGTGTTTCAGCTGATAAACACACACACACACACACACACACACATGCTGAGCGCTTTCAGTTGACAGTGTTTCAGCTGATAAACACACACACTCACACACACACACACATGCTGAGCGCTTTCTGTTGACAGTGTTTCAGCTGATAAACACACACACTCACAGGTTTTCGTCAGCAGGAAGAGCCTTTTCCCGCCATTTTTCTGCATCCGAACGTGCAGTTTTTTTTTTTTATTCGACGAATATTCAAAATTCTAATTTTACTTTGACAGCCCTAATAACTACACAAAAAACTGTTAAATGTGTGTGTGTTGTTCACCTGTCCGGGCCCAGAGTGATGTGTCGTTGGTCTGATCTCCACTGCGGGTCAGAACCACCACCTTGTACGGCGCCCCGGGTCGAAGGTCATGGAAAGAGCAGTCCCGCATGCTCACCAGTCCTGGTTTCTGATCATGCAAGCTTTCATCTCCATTATACAGAAGAACATCAAACCCCTCAAACTCCCCGTCCGGCGGAGCCCAGCGGAACGACAGGCTTGTGGTCGTGTTGCTGAAGACCGACAGGTCATTAACAGAAGCTGGACCTACAACAGACACATTCTCAGACTCTGAACAGGCCAGCTCGTCTGCCGTATGAGCTCGGTCAAGCGGGTCTACTCACAGGTCCTGCCCTCAGCCACGGCATCGTCGCTGCTGACTCCTCCGCTGACGGTCTGCATCCGGATGCGGTACTTCTTCCCCGGCGTCAGCTGTCGGAGGTAATGCTGACTGGATTCTGCGGGCTGAGAGTTATTAGCCACCAGCGTTCCTCGCTCATCCAGAACCTGCAGCCGGTAGCTGTCGTACACCCCTGGCGCCGGCTGCCAGGACACCAGCAGAGCGGCCGAGCTGCGCTGGGTCTCCACCCGTAGAGCCCGCGCCGGGGAGGGAACTGTTTACAGACGGGAGATCAGCCATAGACAGGGGTAGCGATGCCCTCGTGTCACGCTTCCACACACATCACGGTACTGAACTCACGATACCATATTATTGCGATTCTCCAAGACATATGATAAAAGGTTAGCAAAAAAATGACTGTTGATTAAAATACTAAATTTGGTATTGCATTGTGTGTGTAGATGAAAAGATGTGGACTTGGTGCTGAAACCCAAAGCACAGGACAATAGAGACACCAACAATATTCATGATTCTGAAGCTAAAAATACTGAATTATTTTAGATGAATATGCTGCACTCTGTAACTTTTACTGGTAACATCAGACATTTGGCATTATCAGGACCCACACATATTCCCCCAATGTATTATTGTACATTTTACTCAAAATGATATAGTAGTTTAATGTAGTAGTCCTAATAGTCACACTAAAACTCTGAAAAGCTTCATTTCTTTCTCAGACAGTAATTTTCACTTTGGGTGAACTATCCACAATACAGATTGTCACTATCCACGATACATATTGTTGCATTTTTGTATTGCAATATATTGTGACAACCCTAGTAATAGAGCAACTGAAATGGTTTAATGGTTTGTAGGCTTAAACTGAATATTTTATTATTTATATTAACAGAATAATTGAATGAATGAATGAATGAATGAATGAATGAATGAATGAGGTATTTATAAAGTGCTTTTCCTATGTACTACTGTACACCTAAGAATAATTCAAAAATGTACAGTAGTGTCTGAACATATCATCAATAAGCCACCCCAGGCTGTACAACACACTGATTTTACCATGATGCTGTCAGGCATGAGTGTAAAAACATTAAAGCTTTTAGAAAACAGCATGCAATAACAGCAATATGATAAAAGACAGCACAGAACATCATAACTCGTCATTTCACCTGTTCGTCCGGTTTCTGTGCTGTTGTTGATCAGAGATCCGCTAATAGATGTAACGGTTATCATGTACTGCTGTCCCGGCAACAGCCCCTGGAAACTCATCTCATTCACATGTTTAGGGACTGATCTCTCTTCAGCCGGGCCGCCCATCTGAGAGAGGGACACAGTGTACCGGTCCACATCCCCCTGTCCCGGCGTCCAGTTCACTCTCAGGCTGCTGCTCTCACCGCCATTACTGATGTGAATGTTCTTCACTTTACTGGGAACTGAATACAAAGAAAACAGCACAACCTTAAATATTTTGCAAGTTAACTACAGTGAAAAGTCACATTTTTCAGCTTTACATTTCTCCGATATCCACATGGAACATGAGATGTACCTGTTCTGCCTTTGATGACCTGCACACTGAGGTTTGGCCCACTGAAGGTGGACACCACGATCTTGTAGAGTCTTCCAGGAGTGAGTGAAGAGAGCAGGTATCTGTTCGTGCTGCTGGTCAGTGTGATGGGTGGAAACACCTTCATGTCATTAAAGAGCAGCTGAACCTCATAATGATCCACATCTCCGGGAGGAGAACCCCACGTCACCAGCAGATCCTCAGTGCCGCTGTCAGCTAGCGAGAGGTTCCACACTCCTGCTGGCACTGAGAGAGAGAACATACTAGGCAACTATAGTACAGAGATACAGAACGATAATAAGCTGAACTACCGAACAACATAACTTCAGTAAATTAAACTGCAGAACTACAAAACTATGGTAAACTACACCACAGAACTACAGAACAACATAACCATGGTAAACTACACCACAGAACTACAGAACAACAGAACTATGGTAAACTACACCACAGAACTACAGAACAACATAACTATGGTAAACTACACTACAGAACTACAGAACAACATAACTATGGTAAACTACACAACAGAACTACAGAACAACATAACTATGGTAAACTACACTACAGAACTACAGAACAACATAACTATGGTAAACTACACCACAGAACTACAGAACAACATAACTATGGTAAACTACACCACAGAACTACAGAACAACATAACTATGGTAAACTACACTACAGAACTACAGAACAACATAACTATGGTAAACTACACAACAGAACTACAGAACAACATAACTATGGTAAACTACACCACAGAACTATGGTAACTACACCACAGAACTGCAGAACTACAAAACTATGGTAAACTACACCACAGAACTACAGAACAACAGAACTATGGTAAACTACACCAGAGAACTACAGAACAACATAACTATAGTAAACTACACCACAGAACTACAGAACAACATAACTATGGTAAACTACACCACAGAACTACAGAACAACATAACTATGGTAAACTACACCACAGAACTACAGAACAACATAACTATGGTAAACTACACCACAGAACTACAGAACAACATAACTATGGTAAACTACACCACAGAACTACAGAACAACATAACTATGGTAAACTACACCACAGAACTACAGAACAACATAACTATAGTAAACTACACCACAGAACTACAGAACAACATAACTATGGTAAACTACACCACAGAACTACAGAACAACATAACTATAGTAAACTACACCACAGAACTACAGAACAACATAACTATAGTAAACTACACCACAGAACTACAGAACAACATAACTATGGTAAACTACACCACAGAACTACAGAACAACATAACTATGGTAAACTACACCACAGAACTACAGAACAACATAACTATAGTAAACTACACCACAGAACTACAGAACAACATAACTATGGTAAACTACACCACAGAACTACAGAACAACATAACTATAGTAAACTACACCACAGAACTATGGTAACTACAACACAGAACTACAGAACAACATAACTATGGTAAACTACACTACAGAACTACAGAACAACAGAACTATGGTAAACTACACCACAGAACTACAGAACAACAGAACTATGGTAAACTACACTACAGAACTAAAGAACAACATAACTATGGTAAACTACACCACAGAACTACAGAACAACATAACTATGGTAAACTACACCACAGAACTACAGAACAACATAACTATGGTAAACTACACCACATAACTATGGTAAACTACACTACAGAACTATGGTAAACTACACCACAGAACTACAGAACAACAGAACTATGGTAAACTACACCACAGAACTACAGAACAACAGAACTATGGTAAACTACACTACAGAACTAAAGAACAACATAACTATGGTAAACTACACCACAGAACTAGAGAACAACATAACTATGGTAAACTACACCACAGAACTACAGAACAACATAACTATGGTAAACTACACCTAAGAACTACAGAACAACATAACTATGGTAAACTACTCTACAGAACTACAGAACAACATAACTATGGTAAACTACTCCACATAACTATGGTAAACTACACCACAGAACTACAGAACAACATAACTATGGTAAACTACACCACAGAACTACAGAACAACATAACTATGGTAAACTACACCACAGAACTACAGAACAACAGAACTATGGTAAACTACACCACATAACTACAGAACAGCAGAACTATGGTAAACTACTCTACAGAACTACAGAACAACATAACTATGGTAAACTACACCACAGAACTACAGAACAACAGAACAACAGAACTATGGTAAACTACACCACATAACTATGGTAAACTACACCACATAACTATGGTAAACTACACTACAGAACTATGGTAAACTACACCACAGAACTAAAGAACAACATAACTATGGTAAACTACACCTAAGAACTACAGAACAACATAACTATAATAAACTACTCTTCAGAACTACAGAACAACATAACTATGGTAAACTACTCCACATAACTATGGTAAACTACACCACAGAACTACAGAACAACATAACTATGGTAAACCACACAACAGAACTACAGAACAGCATAACTATGCTACACCACAGAACTACAGAACTATGGTAAACTACACTACAGAACTACAGAACAACATAACTATGGTAAACTACACCACAGAACTACAGAACAACATAACTATGGTAAACTACTCTACAGAACTACAGAACAACAGAACTATGGTAAACTACACCACAGAACTACAGAACAACATAACTATGGTAAACTACACAACAGAACAACAGAACAACAGAACTATGGTAAACTACACCACAGAACTACAGAACAACATAACTATGGTAAACTACACCACAGAACTACAGAACAACATAACTATGGTAAACTACACCACAGAACTACACCACAGAACTACAGAACAACATAACTATGGTAAACTACACCACAGAACTACAGAACAACATAACTATAGTAAACTACACCACATAACTACAGAACAACAACTATGGTAAACTACACTACAGAACTACAGAACAACATAACTATGGTAAACTACACCACAGAACTACAGAACAACAGAACTATGGTAAACTACACCACAGAACTACAGAACAACATAACTATGGTAAACTACTCCACATAACTACAGAACAACATAACTATAGTAAACTACACCACAGAACTACAGAACAACATAACTATGGTAAACTACACCACAGAACTACAGAACAACATAACTATGGTAAACTACACCACAGAACTATGGTAAACTACACTACAGAAGTATGGTAAACTACACCACAGAACTACAGAACAACATAACTATGGTAAACTACACCACAGAACTACAGAACAACAGAACTATGGTAAACTACACCACAGAACTACAGAACAACAGAACTATGGTAAACTACTCTACAGAACTACAGAACAACATAACTATGGTAAACTACACTACAGAACTATGGTAAACTACACCACAGAACTAAAGAACAACATAACTATGGTAAACTACACCTAAGAACTACAGAACAACATAACTATGGTAAACTACTCCACAGAACTACAGAACAACAGAACTATGGTAAACTACAGAACTACAGAACCATGGTAAACTACACTACAGAACTACAGAACAACATAACTATGGTAAACTACTCCACATAACTATGGTAAACTACACCACATAACTACAGAACAACATAACTATGGTAAACTACACAACAGAACTACAGAACAACATAACTATGCTACACCACAGAACTACAGAACCATGGTAAACTACACTACAGAACTACAGAACAACATAACTATAGTAAACTACACCACAGAACTATGGTAACTACACCACAGAACTACAGAACAACATAACTATGGTAAACTACACTACAGAACTACAGAACAACATAACTATGCTACACCACAGAACAACATAAATATGGTAAACTACTCCACATAACTATGGTAAACTACACCACAGAACTACAGAACAACATAACTATAGTAAACTACACCACAGAACTACAGAACAACATAACTATGGTAAACTACACTACAGAACTACAGAACAACATAACTATGGTAAACTACACCTAAGAACTGTAAAATGAACTTTGGCACTACAGAAGTACAGTAAAGTGAACTATGGAGCTACAGAAGTACAGTAAAGTGAACTATGGAGCTACAGAAGTACAGTAAAGTGAACTATGGAGCTACAGAAGTACAGTAAAGTGAACTATGGAGCTACAGAAGTACAGTAAAGTGAACTATGGAGCTACAGAAGTACAGTAAAGTGAACTATGGAGCAACAGAAGTACAGTAAAGTGAACTAGTATGGAGCTACAGAAGTACAGTAAAGTGAACTATGGCGCTACAGAAGTACAGTAAAGTGAACTATGGTGCCACAGAAGTACAGTAAAGTGAACTATGGAGCTACAGAAGTACAGTAAAGTGAACTATGGTGCCACAGAAGTACAGTAAAGTGAACTAGTATGGAGCTACAGAAGTACAGTAAAGTGAACTATGGAGCTACAGAAGTACAGTAAAGTGAACTATGGAGCTACAGAAGTACAGTAAAGTGAACTAGTATGGAGCTACAGAAGTACAGTAAAGTGAACTATGGCGCTACAGAAGTACAGTAAAGTGAACTATGGTGCCACAGAAGTACAGTAAAGTGAACTATGGAGCTACAGAAGTACAGTAAAGTGAACTATGGAGCTACAGAAGTACAGTAAAGTGAACTAGTATGGAGCTACAGAAGTACAGTAAAGTGAACTATGGAGCTACAGAAGTACAGTAAAGTGAACTATGGAGCTACAGAAGTACAGTAAAGTGAACTATGGCGCTACAGAAGTACAGTAAAGTGAACTATGGAGCTACAGAAGTACAGTAAAGTGAACTATGGCGCTACAGAAGTACAGTAAAGTGAACTATGGAGCTACAGAAGTACAGTAAAGTGAACTATGGCGCTACAGAAGTACAGTAAAGTGAACTATGGTGCCACAGAAGTACAGTAAAGTGAACTATGGAGCTACAGAAGTACAGTAAAGTGAACTATGGTGCCACAGAAGTACAGTAAAGTGAACTATGGAGCTACAGAAGTACAGTAAAATGAACTATGACGCTACAGAAGTACAGTAAAGTGAACTATGGAGCTACAGAAGTACAGTAAAGTGAACTATGGAGCTACAGAAGTACAGTAAAGTGAACTATGGAGCTATAGATGTACAGTAAAGTGAACTATGACGCTACAGAAGTACAGTAAAATGAACTATGGTGCCACAGAAGTACAGTAAAGTGAACTATGCCACTACAGAAGTACAGTAAAATGAACTATGTCGCTAAAGGAGTACAGTAAACCACCACAGGCATACTTACATGTCCTTCCGTGAGTTGAGACACTGGACTCATATTTCCCACTCCATGTACTGACAATCACAGTATAGAGTCGGCCTGGCACCAGCCCACTGAACACACACTCATTCTGAGTCTTGGGGACCGTCTTGTTCTGGTGGAAGATGTTGTTGTGCTTGATGGAGACATGATAGTAGTCGAAGTCTCCGGCCGCGTGGCGCCAGTAAACCTTCAGATGGTCGTCACGAGCCATGTGTGTGGCCGTAGGGTTCAACACTGTGGAGGGTTCTAGAGCAGAGAACCGGGGAATAATGTGAAACCAACTGCAAACACCTCCATCACAGTAACTACACCTGGACAAAACTGCTTATGAATCTCCTCACGTGTGCGCCCCTGAACCACGGTGTGGTTTTCAAACTCTCCACTGCGGCTGGCGATGGAGATGCTGTAGAGACGTCCAGACACCAGAGACTTGAACACACACTCTGTGCTGAGCTTAGACACAGTGAGGGTGTGAACGGTTCTCTCCTGGTCTCTCAGAGTCACAGAGTAGTTGTCCACGTCTCCTTCAGCGGCTCTCCACGACACACTGAGGAAGTCCATGCGCCCGTTGTTGCTCACCGTCACGTCTCTCACAGCGGCTGGAACTGAACACACACACACACACACACACAACATGAAACCTTCACTGCGAAATACGGGCAGAGCTTTATTCAATTCACAAAGAAACATATAATCATGATGGCTGGTAGTGCTTTATTTGTTCAGTATGTGTGTTTTCAATATCATTACATATAAATATTGTCTGGCTAAGGGAGAGGGAACCAAACAAAAAAAAAAATTAAAAGTGAATATGTAGTTGTAAGTTATATTAAGCCCTATTATTACAAATGCTATTGCAAACACGGCCATGAACTCCTCAGATTCATTTCCATGTTATGGATCATAAACTGTGCGATAGTGCAGTTTAATTTTGCAATCACTACTGGGAAGTTAATGATATATTTATTTTTAAAAAATGTTTTAGAGCTGCTTCACAGCTGAATTGATTTTTTTTTTTTTTAATTATTAATCAATCTTCCTGTTTATCACTGTAAAGGTGCTTTGAAACAATCTTTATTGAATAACGTATTATAGAAATAAAGGTGACTTTACCTATAAATTACATTTTCAGATTTATATAATTGTTTATATAACTTAATAATGCATTTATTTATTTATAAATAAGATAAAGATGCAATGTTCAGGAGTATCAGTGTCTAAACTCTGAAGACTCTGAATAAGTCAGTGATTGTTCGCTCAGAAGAGAACAACATCCTCCCTCCACAACAACATTCCCTGCAGGAAGTCACACACACACACACACACACACACACATGACCTCCACATATTCAAGGCTTCCTGAACATTCCAGGAGCATTCCTGCAGCTCCAGAGAAGAGTGTGTGTGAAGTCCAGCGTACCTGTGTCGTCCTTCAAGAAAACCCCACTGACATTCTGAAGAAACTATTGTGATGTTGTCATGTGTTCGTATGTGTATGTGTGTGTGTGTGCGTCCATCAGCCATGGTCTGGCGTGAGAGGGCGCTGCTGAGCGCAGTGGTGTGTGTGTGTGTGCGTGTGTGTGTGTGTGTGAGGGCACCTGTGCGTCCATCAGCCATGGTCTGGCGTGAGAGGGCGCTGCTGAGCGCAGTGGTGTGTGTGTGTGTGAGGGCACCTGTGCGTCCATCAGCCATGGTCTGCCGTGAGAGGGCGCTGCTGAGCGCAGTGGTGTGTGTGTGTGTGTGTGTGTGTGTGTGTGTGTGAGGGCACCTGTGCGTCCATCAGCCATGGTCTGGCGTGAGAGGGCGCTGCTGAGCGCAGTGGTGTGTGTGTGTGTGTGTGTGAGGGCACCTGTGCGTCCATCAGCCATGGTCTGCCGTGAGAGGGCGCTGCTGAGCGCAGTGGTGTGTGTGTGTGTGTGTGTGTGTGTGTGTGTGTGTGAGGGCACCTGTGCGTCCATCAGCCATGGTCTGGCGTGAGAGGGCGCTGCTGAGCGCAGTGGTGTGTGTGTGTGTGTGTGTGAGGGCACCTGTGCGTCCATCAGCCATGGTCTGGCGTGAGAGGGCGCTGCTGAGCGCAGTGGTGTGTGTGTGTGTGTGTGTGTGTGTGTGAGGGCACCTGTGCGTCCATCAGCCACGGTCTGGCGTGAGAGGGCGCTGCTGAGCGCAGTGGTGTGTGTGTGTGTGTGTGTGAGGGCACCTGTGCGTCCATCAGCCATGGTCTGCCGTGAGAGGGCGCTGCTGAGCGCAGTGGTGTGTGTGTGTGTGTGTGTGTGTGTGTGTGTGAGGGCACCTGTGCGTCCATCAGCCACGGTCTGGCGTGAGAGGGCGCTGCTGAGCGCAGTGGTGTGTGTGTGTGTGTGTGTGAGGGCACCTGTGCGTCCATCAGCCACGGTCTGGCGTGAGAGGGCGCTGCTGAGCGCAGTGGTGTGTGTGTGTGTGTGTGTGTGCGTGTGTGTGTGTGTGTGTGTGTGTGTGTGTGAGGGCACCTGTGCGTCCATCAGCCACGGTCTGGCGTGAGAGGGCGCTGCTGAGCGCAGTGGTGTGTGTGTGTGTGTGTGTGTGTGAGGGCACCTGTGCGTCCATCAGCCACGGTCTGGCGTGAGAGGGCGCTGCTGAGCGCAGTGGTGTGTGTGTGTATGTGTGTGTGTGCGTGTGTGTGTGTGTGTGTGTGTGTGTGTGTGTGTGTGTGTGTGTGTGTGTGTGTGTGAGGGCACCTGTGCGTCCATCAGCCACGGTCTGGCGTGAGAGGGCGCTGCTGAGCGCAGTGGTGTGTGTGTGTGTGTGTGAGGGCACCTGTGCGTCCATCAGCCACGGTCTGGCGTGAGAGGGCGCCGCTGAGCGCAGTGGTGTGTGTGTGTGAGGGCACCTGTGCGTCCATCAGCCATGGTCTGGCATGAGAGGGCGCTGCTGAGCGCAGTGGTGTGTGTGTGTGTGTGTGAGGGCACCTGTGCGTCCATCAGCCATGGTCTGGCATGAGAGGGCGCTGCTGAGCGCAGTGGTGTGTGTGTGTGTGTGTGAGGGCACCTGTGCGTCCATCAGCCACGGTCTGGCGTGAGAGGGCGCCGCTGAGCGCAGTGGTGTGTGTGTGTGTGTGTGTGTGAGGGCACCTGTGCGTCCATCAGCCACGGTCTGGCGTGAGAGGGCGCTGCTGAGCGCAGTGGTGTGTGTGTGTGTGTGTGTGTGTGGGCACCTGTGCGTCCATCAGCCACGGTCTGGCGTGAGAGGGCGCTGCTGAGCGCAGTGGTCACCACTGTCCTGTAGAGGGCGCCACACCTCAGGCCCTGGAAGTGGACGGAGCTGACGTTGGGCGGCACGCTCTCGTTCTTCATGACCACGCTGTCGTGGATGAGGAGCACGCGGTACAGATCCGCCTCTCCGACCGCCGCGTCCCAGCGCACCTGCAGCGCGTCTGTGCGGCCCTGATTACTGACCCGCAGATGTGTGACCTGTGCAGGCACTGAACACACACATCACACTTCATCGGTGAACACACACATCACACTTCATCACTTTCTTCTTCACAGTGAAAAGTAACACTTCCGAAATCTCTGTGTAAACAATGAGTGACGTACACGTGCGAGAGATCACTTCCGGCGCTTGCGCAGACCGAAGCGCCGGCGCCCTCAGATCACTTGGACGTAGCTGTGTTTACAAGAGGTAAAAACTATATAAATACTGTTCGTTTTCTCACACAAACCGCTCGTTTCGTGTCTTAGGCCATCAATGTGTACTTACATTTACGAGTCATTAAATCATGTTTAATTTGGACTTCTCTGTGCTGCTCTTTGAGGTGGTGACCATAGACCTGCATTATATGACTGACAGACAAGAACGGTTTGACCTAAAAATATCAAAATTGAAACGACTGCGGAAACAAAGACACCTACATCTTGGATGCCCTTGAGGTAAGCTAAAACACACCAAAAATTAATTTCAAAGTGAACTATCCCTTTAATGCACAGATCCATTACACTGATACTGTTACACATGCGCTGTCTTTCTCGTCCGTATAATTAACTTAAGGCATAACAGACTATGGGCTCTATCTTGCACTCGGCGCAAATTACTTTGTACACTGACGCATGTATCATTAAGTTGGCTTGTGAAAGCCAACTTACTGAAATCCTATTTAAACTTATTAAGTTGGCTTGTGAAAGCCAACTTACTGAAATCCTATTTAAACTTATTAGTGGTGCTTGCCTATGGCGAAGCAACACTATTGTTATCTCACATACTTATTATTCTTCTTCTTCTTCTTATTAGTGGTGCTTGCCTATGGCAAAGCAACACTAGTGTTATTGTGCAAACTTATTAGTGGTGCTTGCCTATGGCGAAGCAACACTATTGTTATCTCACATACTTATTATTAGTGGTGCTTGCCTATGGCGAAGCAACACTATTGTTATCTCACATACTTATTATTCTTATTCTTCTTATTAGTGGTGCTTGCCTATGGCGAAGCAACACTATTGTTATCTCACATACTTATTATTCTTATTAGTGGTGCTTGCCTATGGCAAAGCAACACTAGTGTTATTGTGCATACTTATTATTCTTCTTCTTCTTATTCTTCTTATTCTTCTGGCCACTTTTTGACGCGCTACTCCTCCCGCAGTTTTTGTCACAGACCCATGAATGAGGTGTCAAAACGTGCGGCCTGTTCGGGAATGGTGTGCTATGACTTTTCTAAGGGATCGGGGGTACGATGTTCGCCCCAGGGGCGAAAAACCGGCCGAAAAATCCCATAGACTTAACATTGCGTCAAACTTTGACGAGTCGTAGCTCGGAACGAGGATGTCGCAGAAACGTGAAATTTACCACATTTAAAGAGGCTGACAGGCTCTGTAAGAATATACCACACAATGGGGTAAAAGTTGCACCCCTGTGGGGCAGGAGCTGCCCAAAGTTGCCCCATTGACTTACTATGGTGTAGGACGGCCCATGAAATGGGCCGTCCTACACCATAGAAACCGCTTTTATATTGAACATAACTCTGGATCACAGTGTCGTAGAGACAAAGGGGCGGGCTCATTTTACTCAGACGGCCAATCAGTCTCTCAGGATCATTGTGAAGCTATCTAGCCACGCCCTAGCAACCATTTAGAGCTCCTTAGCAACAAGTTCCATAGACTTCCATTGAAACAGATCAAAGGGATATCTCAGAATATAAGAGTCATAGAAACATGAGGGTGGGCTCGTTTGACTCGGGGCAGCAAACAGCCAATCCTGAATCACCTCAACACTTACTGGCCACGCCCTAGCAACCATTGTCGAGCACCTTAGCAACCAAAATCCAAAGAGGAATATCGTCCATTCTGAATGTCACAGAGGCACGGGAGTTGGTTTATATCATTCATACTGACAAGCAGCCTTTGGAGTTTCATGATTGGCAGCTGCCAAGCCACTCCCTAGCAACCAAACAAGGTACCCTAGCAACCATTTTGCAAGACCTATATCTCTGCATCAAAACATCGTATAGAGATGGGGGTTGGTTTATACATTCACATTGACTTTGGAGCTTCATGATTGGCAGCTGCCAAGCCACTCCCTAGCAACCAAACAGAGTACCCTAGCAACCGTTTTGCAAGACCAATATCTCTGCATCAGAACATCGTATAGAGATGGGGGTTGGCTCTTTTGACTCATGCTAGCAAACAGGACTTGCTACATGCTAAACATGCTAGCTGTGAATAGCTACATGCTAATATTGATTAGCTAAGTGCTAAATCATGCCATGAACATTATAAAAACTCTATAGTAACCAAATGTGAACACTACCAACCACCTAGTAACACCATAGCAACCATCCAGAATACCATAGCAACCACCTAAAACACCCTAGCAACCACCCAAAACACCCTAGCAACCGCCTAGCAACACCATAGCAACCACCCAGAATACCCTAGCAACCACCTAGCAACCACCCAGAACACCCTAGCAACCGCCTAGCAACACCCTAGCAACCACTCAGAACACCCTAGCAACCACCTAGCAACACCCTAGCAACCACCCAGAACACCCTAGCAACCGCCTAGCAACACCCTAGCAACCACCCAGAACACCCTAGCAACCACCTAGCAACACCCTAGCAACCACCCAAAACACCCTAGCAACCACCTAGCAACCCCCTAGCAACCACCCAGAACACCCTAGCAACCGCCTAGCAACACCCTAGCAACCACTCAGAACACCCTAGCAACCACCTAGCAACACCCTAGCAACCACCCAGAACACCCTAGCAACCGCCTAGCAACACCCTAGCAACCACCCAGAACACCCTAGCAACCACCTAGCAACACCCTAGCAACCACCCAAAACACCCTAGCAACCACCTAGCAACCCCCTAGCAACCACCCAGAACACCCTAGCAACCGCCTAGCAACACCCTAGCAACCACCCAGAACACCCTAGCAACCACCTAGCAACACCCTAGCAACCACCCAGAACACCCTAGCAACCGCCTAGCAACACCCTAGCAACCATCCAGAACACCCTAGCAACCCCCTAGCAACACCCTAGCAACCACCCAGAACACCCTAGCAACCGCCTAGCAACCACCCAAAACACCTTAGCAACCACCCAGAACACCCTAGCAACCGCCTAGCAACCACCCAAAACACCTTAGCAACCACCCAAAACACCCTAGCAACCGCCTAGCAACACCATAGCAACCACCCAGAATACCCTAGCAACCGCCTAGCAACACCCTAGCAACCACCCAGAATACCCTAGCAACCGCCTAGCAACACCCTAGCAACCACCCAGAATACCCTAGCAACCACCTAGCAACACCATAGCAACTACCCAGAATACCCTAGCAACTGCATAGCAACACCCTAGCAACCACCCAGAACACCCTAGCAACCGCCTAGCAACACCATAGCAACCACCCAGAATACCCTAGCAACTGCATAGCAACACCCTAGCAACCACCCAGAACACCCTAGCAACCGCCTAGCAACACCATAGCAACCAACCAGAATACCCTAGCAACTGCCTAGCAACACCATAGCAACTAACCAGAACACCCTAGCAACTGCCTAGCAACACCCTAGCAACCACCCATAACACCCTAGCAACGCCTAGCAACACCCTAGCAACCACCCAGAATACCCTAGCAACCACCTAGCAACACCATAGCAACTACCCAGAACATCCTAGCAACCGAGCGGCGAGTTTTGCCACTGCAAGCACCACTTCACATTTTCTTCTGGAAATGTACATTCTAGTGTTGTGATTACTATTCACCTAGACAAAACTTCGGCACGCTACTCCTCCCGCACCTTTTGTCGTAGACCCATGACTGAGGTGTCAAATCGACCGGTTCATTGAGGAGAGGTGTGCTATGACTTTTCTAAGCGATCGGTTGTACGATGTTCGTCCGGCGGGCGAATAAATCGGCCAAAAAAAGTCCCATAGACTTAACATTGGCACAACATTTGTGAGATCATATCTTTTCACCAGAAGGTCATAGAGACTTGGGGTTGGGCTCTTTTGACTCGGCCTATCAAGAAGCCAATAAGTAGTGATATAACAACTTCATAGCCGTTCCCTAGCAACCACTTAGGGCACCCTAGCAACCATAAAACTATATTTCCAAGGCATATTTCAGCTCCAGAAAATAGTAGAAACATGGAGTTTGGCTTTTTTGACTCAGACTGTCAACTAGTCTTTAAATATCATCTCATAAACTGTATAAGCACACCATAGCAACCATATAGGGTACCCTAGTAACCATACAAACACATGAATAAGCCATGTCTCAGCTCCACAATATCATACAGACATGGTTGTTGGCTCGTATGCAATCATGTACAACACTCTAGCAACCGAGCGGCGAGTTTTGCCACTGCAAGCACCACTTCACATTTTCTTCTGGAAATGTACATTCTAGTTATTATTATTCTTCTGGCCACTTTTTGACGCGCTACTCCTCCCGCAGTTTTTGTCACAGACCCATGAATGAGGTGTCAAAACGTGCGGCCTGTTCGGGAATGGTGTGCTATGACTTTTCTAAGAGATCGGGGGTACGATGGTCGCCCCAGGGGCGAAAAACGGCCCAAAAAAATCCCATAGACTTAACATTGCGAAAAACTTTGACGAGTCGTAGCTCGGAACGAGGATGTCGCAGAAACGTGAAATTTGCCACATTTGAAGAGGCTGACAGGCTCTGTAAGAACATACCACACAATGGGGTAAAAGTTGCACCCCTGAGGGGCAGGAGGGGCCCAAAGTTGCCCCATTGACTTACTATGGTGTAGGACGGCCCATGAAATGGGCCGTCCTACACCATAGAAACCGCTTTTGTATTGAACATAACTCTGGATCACAGTGTCATAGAGACAAGAGGGCGGGCTCATTTTACTCAGACAACCAATCAGTCTCTCAGGATCATTGTGAAGCTATCAAGCCACGCCCTAGCAACCATTTAGAGCTCCTTAGCAACAAGTTCCATAG